TAGTATACCCTCTCTGATCTTGAGTTAGCTCAGTGCAATGGAGCTCAAACTTGGCTGAAGGAAACTTAAAAGTTCCATGCCCAGCATACCCCTAAACCAATTACATAAGAATCTCTGGGGTGCTCCAAGGCATCAGCATTCTTAAAACCCTCCAGGTGATCCCAAAGGGTAGTAAGGGTTGAGAACGATGGGGACAGTGGCACCAGAGGTGTCTAGGTTTGGATGGTGACGGAACACTCTATGAGCTGTAGGAACAGGATGATTGTGCTTCCCAGTTGCAAAAAACAAACAAACAAACAAAAAACTGGAAATAAGGCAGGCACTATTGCTAGGTAATAGGCAATTCTTGGTTTCTCTGTGATTGTCACTCTTTTTTCACATTCTCCAAGTTCACATAATGTCTGACCTTCTCATGATGCCTTGTTTTACACATTCTTTGCTTAAATTAGGCAGTATTTATGGTGCCTGGATGTCCTTCTGGCCCAGCACCTGAGCCTTTTGTGCTGGTCTCTGGAGATTCATGATTCATTATTGAGTTACCTGAGGATACAGGAGCACTTCAGAGCCCCACTCACAGTACGACCAGTAGCACCTAAAGTTGACATGAACATGAAAGCTGTCAGAATTCAATAGCACTGGATGGAGTGAGGGTGAGAGAACTTCAAAGTAAGACAGTTTAAGGGGCTTTTGGTCACGGTGACCAGGTCCTTAGGAAAAAGGCAGAAAGAGCCCTCAGTGAAACCCACATATGCATGCACCACTCAAATTACTGGGTTCCTCATGTAAACACCTTCACACAGCACATACATTCATTCAACACACACATACAACAGACAGACCACCCACATACACACACAATGTACACCATACATGCCCCCATCATATGTCAACATACTTTTCATCCACCACCCCTATCATATCAAATCTCTCAAGAAGTTGTTTCAAAGGGCTTATTCATGCTGTAGATAATAAAGCTTACATTTTTAATTTATTTTCTGTGCCCCTCCCCCTATTTATAATTTAATTGATGAACTTTGGAATTTCAGGTCCACAATTCTGGGAAGGAAAGAGTTTGAAAAACAAATGTCCTGAGTTCCCTGAAGTCACATCACTTACAATATACCCTGTTTACCTACAAAGCCATTCTTGAATGAGGAAGAGATCAAAGTGGAAGAAGACCCTCAGAGCCCCTTTGCCCAATGTATAGTTTTATCTCAGGCACTGTTTATTGACTCTGACCCGAGGAAAATCCCTGAGGTGACACGGATTCCTCTCTCCAAGAGTAGTGGATGTTGTGAGAGCCTGCTCATATCCCGTGTGCCCCTACCATGTCTGTGCATAGAATAGTTCAATTTCCCCCAGCTCATATCTGCATTAGTTTGCCTGAGGGCTTTCTTTGAACTAAGAAGCCCATTTTTCCTATGCCTGCAGCAAGCTGGAAGTTTCAAGGAACTGACAATGCCAAAAGAGCAGCTCTCCGTCTAGGACGGTGGGAAATGGCTGTCCTCTTTCAAGTGGGATAATTCTGATGTATGTTCTACTGTGGGCTTCTAGTATTCTCCACTGGGATTGAGTTTACAGTGGTGACTGGCTTGATAACAGATCCTTTTGGACTGCTGTTCTTTCTCATCTCACTTTCCCATAACCCTACCAATATTTTCTGGGCTGAACCCTGGGAGAAACTATTTGCACTTAAATTCTTTGTCAGGATCAGCCTCTGGGGAACCTATATTAAAACACTAGAAAACTGAAAATGACAAAAGATGAACAGAGGTCTGTTTACACAAAAGGGATTGGAGTAACAAATATTTCTGTTATTTCTGTCCTGTTATTTCAAGTTTATGTACAAACACAATTTGGGGCATTTGCCTCTATACTGGGGTAGAGCCCAGAGTGACCATGCCAAGGGGAAGAAGATGCACTCAGCCAGCAGCCTCACACATCTGCTGGGTGAACAATGACTATAATTTTTAGGAGAGGGACAATAAAAAAATCCACATAAAACTTTTTATTGTGTAAGTGACACTGGTTGTATAATCAGCAATCAGAAACCTACCCCGAGGACACAACTTTTCTGCCTATTAATGTAGAGAAAGTGGGTAGCCTGCCTCCCAAGTCTCAGAGTATAACATTGCAGATGCTATGATTTATTCCAAAGGAGTTATAATACCAGTAGAATATAAGAAAGATGTAGCAAATGTGTGTTGCAGGAAAGATAATAAAATAAAATCTAAGCATTTCAGAACTCTTGGGGAAAATTGAATCCATGGGAATTGAAATTATAAAGGGCTTGGAAAAAAAATAGAGCCTTTTTACAGAGGACAGGAAAATAATGTGTTTCTCCCTCTTATGAAAGGTAGGTGATTTTGGACCCAAAAGTACTACTGAGACCATTTCCAAACATACAAAAAAACTACTTATTTAATCAGAATCTACAATTTTTGTATTTATAATCAGGCTTTTCTCTAAAGATTTCATTTAAAGTATGAACAGATGCCAACACTTGAATGCAATTGGTAAACAATTCCTGTGTAAGAATAACCATCGTCTTCTCTACCAGCTCCCATCACCTGACTTCTTCAGTGTTGATGCACCTTCTTTATAGCCAGACTCTGTGGATCAGCCAGAGTGCCCCTTTCTTCACCCACTCCATCCCCTTCACTCTTATGCAGCTCAAAAGGGCTCTGCATCATTCACTGGGTGTGAAAAACCTTCAAATGAGTTAGGGCTCAATTTTACTATATTATCAGCACTAGAGCTTAAATAATTTTTTTTGGAGTATCCTGATATGTTAGTTCAGATAGCACAACCCAAGTGCTATAACAAAGACCAACATTGGTAGTGTTCTGATCCCTTGAATCTTGATGTTTAAAAAATAAAAAACTTCTTTCTTGCTTATATTATAATTTGAGGCATGTCAATAGATATGCGAATGGAAATAATTTATGAGGTCATTCAGGGACCCAGACTCCTTTCATCTATTGGTTCCACAATCCCTTAGGATGAGGGTTAGAAAACTATTTATTTATTGACTTTACTTTTAAAAGTAGTTTTAGGTTTGCAGAAAAACTGAGCAGAAGGCACAGAGACTTTCCATATTCTTCTTGCCTCCCACACATGCACAGCCTCCCCCACTCTCAACATTCTCTACCAGAGTGGTGTGTTTGTTACAAATCACAAACATACACTGACACTTGTAATCATCCAAAGACAATAGCTACATTAGGGCCACTCTTGATGTACATCCTATGGCTTTAGACAAATGTATAAGGACATATGTTCAACTTCACAGGATGATAGTTCTCACTGCCCTATAAATAAATCCCCTGTACTCCACCTAGTCATCCCTCCCATCCTCCAAATCTCTGGCAAGACTGATCTTTTTACTGTCTCCATAATTTTGTCTTTTTTTGAATGTCATGTAGTTAGAATCATATAGTATTTAGCCTTTTCAGATTGATTTTTAACTTAATAAAATGCATTTAAGTTTCTTCCATGTCTTTTTAAGGCCTGATCGTTATGAATAATATTCCATTGTCTGGATGTACTACAGTTCATTTATCCATCAATCTATTGAAGGGCATTTTGGTTGTTTCCAAGTGTTTGGAAATTAAACCTTATTTTTAAAGGGCCAGATAGTAATATTTTCATTTTTATTAGTGATACAATTTCTGTTGCAACTACTACAATTATTATTCAAGAGCTTCCATAAATAATATATAAAGAAAGGGATTTCTGCTTATAAACAACTAGTTAACAGAGCATATTTTTTACATAGGAGTAATAAATATTTTTTAATTTTATAATTTTTACTTATTTTAATGGACATCGGTCTTCCCACAAATCATACCAAATTAAAGAGATGTGATTGCTGTCATGAGCTTGGCTAATAAACCAAATTTTGTTTCCTTATGTAGCTTTAGAGAACTATATTATCAAATCCAGGGTTTATTTTTCTCCAGTAATTCCTCAGAGTGATTATTTTTATGGAATCTGATAATAGAAAATAATTATTTCATACCATTCAAGGTCTAAAAGGTAATCATGTTTAGTAGTATTAGCAAACCCAGGGGGCAAAAAGGATATAAATAAAATTTCATCAGAAACTCTTGCAATGAAGAAAAGAAAAAACATACACTGTGATTGTTCTGGAGTCTGATTTGGGTCAGAATAAGCACAAACCAAAAAAATAAATCTGAAGCACTTGTCTTCATTTTTCAGCCTTCAAGCCTTCTAATGATGCAGAGCTGTGCAGATAAATCTAAAATTTGAATCAGAAAGAAAAATGAAAAATATATAGCATTGAATCTGCAGTGCCCTTCAAAATCACCCTGGAATTTTTAAAGTTGTCATGATTGCACTTGATTTTGGGTATATTTGGTATACTTAGAAAGCAACTTGCTCCAAATATCAAGTCACTTTAAAATTGCCTTAGTTTGTTTTGTTTTATTTTAGAAGCTGATGACTTTTTATTCCTTTGACCAATGGTGTTGGCCTCTGGCAGATTAACCAGTATTGTTAGGGCAGTGGTTCTTAAAGTCTAGCTTGCATAGAATCACCTGGAAAGCTAGTTAAAATACATGTTCCTGAGCTTCACTATCAGAGACTGAATCCGCAGGTCTGGGTGGAGCCTGAGAGTTTGCATAGCTAACACACTTCCAGGTGCTGATGTACCACACTTTGATTAACATCAAGTCAAGAAGCTCTCTCTCTCTCTCTCCTTTTTTCTCTTGTTATCCTACCTGAGGATATTTTTTTCATTAATTTTAAGACAGAGTGGCTGAGTGGAAGGGGGAGGGAGAAGAAAGAGAGAAAGAGGAAAACATCAATGTAGTGATTGCCTACCACAAAACCCCAACCGAGGTACGTGCCCTTGACTGGGAATAGAACCCATGACCCTTAGGTCCTCAGGCCGGTGCTCTAACTGCTGAGCCAAACTGGCCAGGGAAGAAGCCCTCATTTCTTAAAATTTATTTATCTTAATTTATTTATCTTAATATGCGCTCGCTTCGCCAGCACATATACTAAAATTGGAATGATATGAGGAAGATTAGCATGGCCCCTGTGCAAGGTGACATGCAAATTCGTGAAGCGTTCCATATTTTTTAGATATGCTAAAAGGACTGCTATAAATAGTAGAAGGAATAGGAACAAAAATAGAACCACACTAAACAAAAATTGCAATAAATAAGTACATATCAATTATCACCTTAAATAGGAATGGTTTGAATGCTCTCATAAAAAGACACAGAGTAACTTACTGGATAAGAAAGCATGACTAACATATATGTTGTTTACAAGAGACCCACCTCACAACAAAAGACTCACATAGGTTGAAAGTGAAGGGATGAGAAAAAATCTTTCAAGCAAACAGAAAGCAAAAAAAAAAGTTGGAGTAGCAATACTCATATCTGAATATCTGATAGAGTAGATTTCAAAATGAAGACCATAACTAAAGAAAAAGAAGGCTACTACATAATACTGGAAAGATCTATCCAACAGGAAGATATAACCTTGGTAAACATATATGCACCCAATATGGGTGCACCAACAAATATTAAAAATCTTCTGGAGGACTTCAAAGGATAAGTCAATAGCAATACAATCATAGTAGGGGACTTCAACACCCCGCTGACATCACTGAATAGATCTTCTAGACAAAAAGTTAACATGGAAACACAGACTCTAAAGTAAGCGCTAGATCAAAAAGATTCCATAGACATCTACAGAGAATTTTACCAAAAAACTGCAGAATTCACATTCTTCTCACGTACACTTGGGACATTCTCAAACAGACCTCATGTTAGGACACAAACTAAGTCTCTACAAGTTCAAGAAGATTGAAATTATATCAAGCATCTTCTCAGATCACAATGGCATGAAACTAGAAATCAATTGCAACAAGAACATGCAAAGACATTTGAACACATGGAGGCTAAATAGCATGTTATAGAACAATGAATGGGTTACCATGGAGATAAAGGAAGAAATTAAAAACTTCCTGGAAACCAGTGAAAATGAACACACAACAACACAAAATCTATGGGATGCAGCGAAAACAGTTCTGACGGGGAAGTTCATAGCACTATAGGCCTAGCTCAAGAAGCAAGAAAAATTTCTAACAGAATATCTAACCTCACAACTTAAAGAACTAGAAAGCAAACCAAAAGAAAACCCCAGGGCAAGTAGAAGACAGAAAATAGTAAAAATCAGAGCAGAAATAAATGACATGGAGACCAAAAAAACAATTCAAAGGATCAATGAAACAAAGAGCTGCTTCTTTGAAAAGACAAACCAGATTGATAGACCCTTAGCTAGACTCACCAAAAAACAAAGAGAGAGAACCCAAATACAAAAAATCAGAAATGAAAGAGGAGAAGTAACAACTGACACCACAGAAATACAACAGATTGTTAACAAATATTATGAACAATTGTACAGCAACAAATTCGACAGTCTAAGCAAAATAAACCAATTTCTAGAAACACATAGTCTCCCAAAACTGAACCAGAAAGAGATAGAAAACTTGAACAGACCAATAACAACAGAAGAAATTGAAGATGTAATCAAGATTCTCCCAGCAAACAAAAGCCTAGGCCCGGATGGCTTCACGGGGGAATTATATGGAACATTAAAAAAATAATCAAAACTCATTCTCCTCACACTATTTCAAAAAATTTATGAAGAAGGAACACTTCCAAATGCCTTTTATGAGGCCAGCATTATTCTAATTTTAAAACCAGAAAAAGACACTACAAAGAAAGAAAACTGCAGGCCGATATCCATGATGAACATAGATGCCAAAATCCTGAACAAAATACTAGCAAATTGAATCCAGCAATATATCAAAAAAATTATTCACCATGACCAAGTGGGATTCATTCCAGGGATGCAAGGCTGGTACAATATTTGCAAATCAAAAAAGGTGATACACCACATAAACAAAATGAAACATAAAAATCATATGATCATATCAATAGATGGTGAAAAAGCACTTGACAAACTCCAGCACTAATTTCTGATAAAAACACTCAGCAATCTGGGAATAGAGGGATCATATCTCAACATAATAAAGGCCATATATGAAAGACCTACAGCCAGCATCATACTCAATAGGCAAATATTAAAACCATTTTCCTTAAGAACAGGAACAATGCAAGGATGCCCACTTTCGCCACTCTTATTTAACATAGTACTAGAAGCCACAGCAATCAGACAGGAGGAAAAAATAAAAGGGATCCAAATGGGACAGGAGGAAATGAAACAGTTATTATTCACAGATGACATGATACTATATGTAGAAAACGCCAAAGACTCCATCAAAAATTTACTAGACTTAATAAATGAATTTGGGAAAGTAGCAGAATACAAAATTAATGTCAAGAAATCGACGACATTCTTATACACCAATGATGAGCTCATAGAAAGAGAAACTGAAAAAATAATCCCATTTACCATCGCAGCAAAAAAATTAAGATACCTAGAAATAAACTTAACCAAATAAATAAAGGACCTATTTGCAGAAAACTACAGGTCATTAAAAAACAAAATAGAGGGAGATATAAAAAAAAGTGGAAGCACATACTTTGTTCATGGATCAGAAGAATCAACATCATTACAACGTCCATACTACCCAAAGCTATCTATAGATTCAATGCCATCCCCATCAAAATACCAATGACATACTTCACAGAACTAGAACAAATACTTCAAAAGTTCATATGGAACCAAAAAAGACCTCGAATAGCCACACCAATCTTGAAAAAGAGAACAAAGTTGGAGAGATCACATTATCAGATTTCAGATTATACTACAAAGCCACTGTAATCAAAACAGCCTGGTACTGGCACAAGAACAGGCATATAGACGAGTGGAACAGAACAGAGAACCCAGAAATGGACCCAAGGCAATATGCTCAATTAATATTTGACAAAGGGGGCAAGAGTATACAGTGGAATAAAGACAGCCTCTTTAATAAATGGTGTTGGGAAAATTGGACAGCTACAGGCAAAAAAATGAAACTAGACCATCAACTTACACCATACACAAGAATAAACTCAAAATGGATAAAAGACTTAAATGTGACTCATGAATCCATAAAAATCCTAGAAGAAAATGTAGGCAACAAAATTTCAGACATCATATGCAGCAGAATTTTCACTGATACATCACCTAAAACAACAGAAACAAAGGAGAAAATAAACACATGGGACTACATCAAACTCAAAAGCTTCTGCACAGCAAAAGATACAGCAAAAGATACAAAATGGAAAGGCTACCCAGTGTATGGGAGAGCATAATTACCAATGATATATCAGATAAAGGGTTAATTTCCAATATATATAGAGTGCTCATACAACTCAAGAAAAGGAAGACAAAGAACCCAATTTAAAAATGGGAAGAGGAACCACATAGACACCTCTCCAAACAGGACATACAAATGGCCAAGAGACATATGAAGAAATGCTCAACATCACTAATCATCAGAGAGATGCAAATTAAAACAACAATGAGGTATCACCTCACACCTGTCAGAATGGTTGCCATCATCAAATCATCAAACAACAAGTGTTGGTGAGGGTGTGGAGAAAAGCGAACTCTAGTACACTGCTGGTGGGAATGCAGACTGGTGCAGCCACTGTGGAAAACAATATGGTGTTACCTCAAAAAATTAAAAATTGAACTTCCATTTGACCCAGTGATCCCACTTCTAGGATTATACCCTAAGAAGACTGAAACACCAATCAGAAAGCATATATGTATCCCCATGTTCATAGCAGCATTATTTATAATAGCTAAGATCTAGAAACAACCCAAGTGTCCATCAGTAGACGAACGGATAAAAAGGCAGTGGTATATATACACAATGGAGTACTATGTAGCTGTAAGAAAGATCTCTTATTTTTTGAGATGATATGGAGGGAACTGGAAAATATTATCTTAAGCGAAACAAGTCAAGCCGATAAAGACAAATATCACATGATCTCACTTATTTGTGGAATATAACGAACATAACAGTCTGAGGATTGGGGCAGTCCCAGAGACGTGGAAGTGGGGTACAGACTGACAGTCCCCTGAAGAGTGAGTGTTGGGGGGGGGATAAACCACAGAACTTATATGCATGTATGTATGAACAATGGACATGTACAACAAAGGTGGGGATAGGGTGGGGAGGGAGGGGGAGGGAGGAATCAGTGGATGAAAAAGGGGAAACATCTGTAACAATAATAAATTAATTAATGAAAAATATATATTAAAGCATCTATATAGTGCACTCACAATAAATAAATAAAATTTATTTATCTTTATTGTTGAAAGTAATACAGATGTCACTCCTTTTTTCTCCCATTGATATCCTCCACCCTACTCCCACACTGCCCCTGCCTTCATCACACTGCTGTTGGTTCCATTGGTTATGAATATATGCATAAGTTCTTTGGTTTATTTCTTCCTGCCCCCCAAACACCCCGTCCCTCTGAGGTTTGTCAGTCTGTTCCCTACTTTCATGTGTCTGGATCTTTTTTCTGTGTCTCTGGATCTTTTTTGTTCATCACCTTATTTTGTTCGCTGTATTTCACAAATAAGTGAGATCATGTTGTACTTATCGTTCTTTGACTGGCTTATTTCACTTAGCATAATCGTCTCCAGGTCCCTCCATGTCATTTCAAAGTGTAAGAGATCTTTCTGTCTTACAGCTGCATAGTATTCCATTGTGTATATGTACCACAGCTTTTTTTATCCACTCATCTACTAATGGGCATTTGGGCTCTTTCCAGATGTTAGCTATTGTAAATGGTAATACAGTGAACATAGGAGTGCATATATTCTTTCTAATTGGTGTTTCAGGCTTCTTAGGATATATTCCCAGAAGAGGGATCACTGGATCAAATGGCAGTTCCATTTATAATTTTTTGAGGTAACACCATATTGTTTTCCATAATGGCTGCACTAGTCTGCATTCCCAGCATTAGTGTACTAGAGTTCGCTTTTCTCCACACCCTCCCCAGCACTTGTTATTTGATGATTTGCTGACAGTAGCCATTCTGGCAGGTGTGAGGTGATACCTCATAGTCGTTTTAATTTGCATATCTCTGATGAGTAGTGAC